GAAGTGTTTAAGATCCGGCTCTAGTTCCCCCGGGAGATCGAATGATCGATACTCCCAATCTAAGCATAGGTGGCACTACCTACTTGGATACCTAGCATGGCTCAATGGAACCTTGCTCTAAGCCCATGGCTAGAGCACCCAAAAGCAGAAGGCGGGGAGAATACCCATGAGGCCCGCATAGGGCCACAATGTTCCGAAATGTCATCCTAAAGTCCTAGACTATGGAAAGGAAAAGGAGCAATCCTTTAGTGTTATGACTAAGCATATGGTCATGTGGTGAGAAAGTCTTAGAGGACAGTAGGACTTAGTGGTTGGGCCTATGAGCCTTGATCTAGTGGCAGTAGTGGCAAACACGGCTATGGACAAAGAGGGACTTGGTGGGGACTGGAAAAGGGATATTGGGGAAGGTTATCCCCTATGTCTGTGGGCATCATTAAGATGCTAAAGAATGGATCTGGGATGATCACTCATGGATAGTTGCCTCAGTCTTTGAGAGATAGGATTATGATGCAAGTGGCATTAGACCACCGGTGTGACCAAGTGGGATGGGTATGGCCTTAGTGTAACAAACTGATATGTTAATGGTACCTTTGCGTGTCGATAATAGGATCAGACACATAGAGCACTTGGACCAAGTGTAAAGGTTGAGTAGCAGGGATGCCATTCTCGAGCTAGCCCCAAGTCCGGAATAAGACTTATAGAGGTGGTGAGTGAGACTCTTCCAAGTGGTTGGAAGTGTGGTTAAATGATTAAAGTAGAATGGAAAATTTAATTGCTTACAGATATATAGCAATCACCATAAAGTGATTGAACCATCCCTAGGATTTCTATAAAGAACTTTAATTGAATGTGAGGATTAGCACCAATAATAGGAGGAGTTGTACCACATGCCCTAAATGCCACTATTAATGAGTTTGGTTGTTTAATTGCAATCGCATAACATCAAACAATTGTACCAATTGCTACTCTAGAGTCAAAAGAGAAGGAGATTGCTGACCTGGCATGAAGATGAACAAAAAAGAAAGAGCAAAAGAAAAGAAATGAAAAAAAGCTAATAGGAAAGGGAGATTTAGACACCGCAAAAGTTAAATCTAAACCAAAACCCCGAAAGGAAAGAACAAAAGAAAGGAAATGGAAAAAGCTAAATCTAGACGATGCAAATACTAAATCTAAACCAAAATCCAAAATCCAAGCACTCCTCAAAGACAATCAAAAATCTCTACCGATGTGAGTGTATAGAATATAGAAAATGTGCATATCAATTAGCCCAAAAACTCTAGTTTATATATAATAGCAAGTAGTTCAAATTGAAATTTATCTGATGGCTACCAAAATTCCTATTACACCAATATTAGTATATGGTATTGTAGTTGTACACTTGGACGTCACAAAATTAAGATTAATTTTTTATACACAACTGAATAATTTTCAAAAGTTATTAATTTTGAACAATTTACATATAGAAAATATTATCAAATAATTTTTATTTTAAACTTTTATACACAAACCCTACCCAATATATAGGGTAGATTATTATCTTAACTATTAATAAAACATATTAGCTTATAATCATAATGATACTTACCCATACATAGGAAAAGACTCTTAAAATGTTTATTACTTATTTTTATAAAATTAAATATTATTTAATAGTAGATATAGAGAATTTTAAATAATAATATTCCTCTTCAATATAAAGTTGTGGTATAATCTATTTGAAAAATTAAAATATTTAAAAGTTTAATCATAATAAATATTCAAAGGCTGGTCCTAATTGATTAAGAGAATATTATTTATAAGTATTATAAGTTAAAATAGATTTTTATTTATAAATTTTTTATAGGAAAAATTAACTTTATGTTTCTTACAAATTCTATAAATTCTCATATCTCATACAAAATAGTTTTGGAGAATTGAAAGAAAAATTAAATCACTTTTATTTTTTTTCTTTTCATATTTAGATAATATTATACCTTCTTATTGGTGAAGACCATTGATCTTTATAATAAATTTTATGAGTTTCAAAAATTGCATATTCAAATATATACCATTCTATTTTTTCAAATTCTTCATAATGTTCATGTGATCCTTGGTCATAAGCATTAAATTTTCCATGTAATTCCCCTTTAAATTTTATATCACACCAAAATAAAGTATATCCAATCCATCTTGTGTTAAATTCAAACATGAAGTTTGATCTATCTTTAATAAATTGTATTTCTAAATTATCATCTTTTGATTTACAATGAAGCTCAAGTTCATCACCTACTCTATTAAAAATAAATACTTGTATATGTGCACTAAAGCATGAATAAATACTTAAAAATATAATATGAAAACCAAAGATTTTTTAAAAGCTAGCATATCTTAGTTAAAATTTTAATTAAGAACAAAAAATATTAATACCTAATTATAAATCATAACGTATTATTTAAGTAAATTATTAAAAATATATACTTTTTAGTGCTCCACTTGTAGCAATTCTATAAATTTGGGATAATTTTATAATAATTTTTATCTAGTATAGACATTCAATAATTTTTATCATTTCTTTTAATATTGTTTAAAAATATAATGCATCAATGTTTTGTGGCAGTATCCTTAATAAACAGAGCTATACTATAGTAAAATGTTTTAAGAAATTATTACTTTAACTTAACTAAAATGATTTAAATAATAATTTTTTAAATAATTATATTCTATAATATTTTAATTTCTAATATATCATTTTATCAATCATTATTTAAATTTTTTATTATCTAGTATATTCTTAAACCTAATGATAAAATGATCAATCTTGTTCCTAAAACATTGTTTGGCAACTATAATAATCTTTTGCATTAAACCTCATTTTTCAATGTAACTTTTGTTAGCATCTTCAAATTACCATTTTTTGTTTGCCGATTAAGCAAAGCTATTATAGTGTTTGAGAATATTCTAAGAACATTATTTTTTATTAAATATTTTAATTTATAATTATAGTGCTTTTTATCATCTCTAACCATAATTATTTACCATAACCATATTAAAGTTAATTTACTAAGTACACCATTAATATTTGGGACTTCTACTAAGTCCCATTAATATTTGGGACTTCTTCCTAGCAAATGTTCTTCATGAAAAATCTAGAAATAAAAGTTTTTGGGATAGATAGAGCTTTTTCTTCACCACTACTTGTATGGTAGATATATACGATGATTTCTTTTGTTTGTGCTGCACAGCCTTTTGTAAGTGTGATCATCTAAAGGTCACCACCTCATGTATATGAGATGTGGCACGCTATACATCCACTAGAATGCTGGACGGGGGACTATTTTAAGATATAATTATTGTAAACTTGCTCTCAAATTTATCTAAATTGTAACCCCCATTTATGCTAACTATTGCACTAAGCTCCAAATCAAGAAGATGATGATCGTCCTTCTTGATTAATTGTTTCGTCTTATCAAGCTCCACTGACTGAGGACATATGTTCTTCAGGGAAGAGAAAAGAGTGTGATGTTTATAAAATTTGTGGATGAACAAGGCATTGACAGATACTCCCAATTCTCCTGGAGCAAAGAAAGATGGGATGGCTCATTCCTACTCACCAACTAGATCACTATATTGGACTGTTATCTTCATTCAATCTGTTTTAGGATATTTGAAGACAATCAAGCTGGAACTATAGCTTGACACCACCACAGGTTTGGAAGAAGTTTGTAGCAGTAAAACTTTTGGACCTTAAAAATGACCACTTAGCTTTCCAGGTGAACCATGAAAAACTTCACCTACTTGTGAAAGGGGTCACGCTTGAATCTCCTCTTGGTGGCATTCTTTCTTTTTTTATTTCTACTATATTAATAGTACAATAATACAAAGGAACATAATGTTGACCTTCATATGTTGGGAATTCATTTATTCATAGGAGTCTCTAATTCTAATGAATTAAAACATCGGTTCCATGAATATTTCGAGAGCATGCGTTCTAAACTTTACCATCCAGCGTTAAAAGCACCTTGTACAAATCCGGCCTCCTGTCTCTGAAAACTCCCCAGCTCTGGCGCTTGAGCTTGATCTGATTTAGATCGAACTTCGCCACGAGAACCGCTTCGTTTTTGTCATCGGCCTCTGCCACAATCTCTCCGGTTGGTCCTGCAATAAGTTCCAGCCGTGGGCAAGGGAAAAAACACGAAGGAAGAATCTCTTACCCGCAATGAAGGAATGCCCGTAGAATGTTATCTTGCTGGCTCCGTGCTCGGTTTCTACAACTTCCACTCCGATTCGGTTCGAGGTAACAAGCGGTATCTGCAAAGAGTTTGCTTCGTGGAAAACAGCAAATCGAATGAAAGGAAAGTGAGAGAGCAGCGTAGTGTAGTACCACATTGGCTCCAGCGTGTCCTTGCATCACTCGCTGCCAGTGTTCTCGTGAATCTAGGCCCGAGTCTTGCGGCTCGGAACCGATGGCTGTTGGGTAAAACAGCACCTCGGCTCCCATCAAAGCCATGGCTCTCGCTGCTTCTGGAAACCATTGATCCCAACAAATAGCTTCACACACCCAGAAACTAGCGTCAGACAAATCCCAAATGTCAGTCAGTCACTTACCCACACCAATTCTAGCAAACTTGGTATCGAAAACCTGTTCTCTTTCCAAAGTTTTTAAAACGGAGTTACGAGAAGTGGAGGAGAGAAACAGACCTTGAAGCCTGTGTCTCCGGGGTTGAAATAAAACTTTTCTTGATATCCTGCACAAGGCGAAAGATGAAACGATTCTGTGAAACACATTGATTCATGCATACCTGGGCCGTCGGGAATGTGAGATTTTCGGTAGAGCCCAAGGTCCGTTCCATCGGCATCTATGATAACAATAGAGTTATAGTGTGCATTGTTTGCCTCCTCGAAGAAGCTAACAGGAATCACGACTCCGAGTTCTTTCGCCAGCTCCTTCATCCTGGAAAACCGAAACTTTCTTCTCCAAAAATCCTAGCACAAGGGAAAAAACCTTTGGATTGTTGGATGGCCTTCTCGCGGCTTGGAACATAAAAAAAAGTCCTCTCTTTGCGCCTGGCAAAAGTAGTATCCCTCGAAGAGCTCCTGATCCAAAATTTTTTCACAGCATAAATCCTCGCAACGCATTAAACGCTTCACAGTACCTGGATAAGGATGATATTTGCTCCTCGCGAATGCGCTTCCCTAACGAGCCTGATATTACCATCATAGAAAATGCGATTCAAGCGAGACGCACGTATTCAACTACCTCTCAGCAGTAGCGACATTCTCATCGGCGCGATCACTGCAAGCAAATTGCAGTGACGAGACGCTCACTTCCCGTGATTCCATCGCCCAAAAAATCCCCTTGACCAAAGAACCCTAAATCCCAGCAAGAGCCCTATTTCTGCGACACGTGGCAGATAGTGAGTCGTAGATTTAAGCTCTATACACCCGCTATGATGTTGCCACGTCAACAAGGGTAACGAGGATCGTCTGTTTTCTAGGGCAAAAATATTCCAGGGATGAAGAAGACGAAGAAGAGGCGAGAGCACCGGCCGATCGGCGTCGCTACCAAGTCGAAGATCACGAAAAAATCCAATGCTCCATCAAAAGCAGCAGCGGCGCCGGTAGATAGAAACGATATCCAGTTCAAATCTCCTCGGGATCAATCGTCCTGGTTCTTCTCCACATTTCGAGCAGTTCACAGTAGCGTCTTGTCTTCTCTGGAGATGGGAGCTCTCCCAGGTAGGCCAACCAGGCCATTCTTTCCTTTTCTTCCTTCTTATTAGCATCTGATTAGCTTTTCTTGTAGACGATGCGATGGTTGAGATTCCCAGCAATCAGGATCACTGCATTGAGAACCTGGCCTCGGTTATCAAAGGCATTGTTGGATCTTCGTGGGAGAGCTCTCTGTGCAGTGGAGCTCTTGGAGATTTGGAGCCAGGAAGCCCGATTGTTCTCATTGTGAGCAGTTCCGCAGTACGCTGTGTCAGTCTTCTCAAGTATGTATGTTTTGCGTTGTTTCTTTCTTATGTAACTTGGTTTTGCTCGAATCCTTCCAGGAACTTGTCCAGTTTGACAAAAGAATGCAAGCCTGGGAAGCTTTTCGCTAAACACTTGAAGGTGGAAGAGCAAGTCTCAGCGCTGAAAGAACGAGTCAATATTGCCGCAGGGACACCGAGCCGGTCAGTCTCTTCCTTTTCTTTGTGCAAACAAGCTCTTTCTTGTGATTAGAATTCCTTTCCTTTGTTCTCAGGCTCAAGAAGCTGATCGACATCGGCGCTCTGGGGCTTTCACGGCTCTCCTTGCTCATCTTTGACATGCACAAGGATGCCAAAGGATTGACGCTCTTCACAGTTCCTCAAGTCAGGTTTGTGTGTGTGTGTGTGCGTGCTCTTACATTTATGTATGCTCTAATGCGTTCTATACAGAAAAGAACTTTGGGAGCTCTACAGGCTCCATTTTCACAACGGTGTTGTGGAAGGCAGGCTTCGTTTGTGCTTGTATTGATAGAGGTTTAATCAAATATTCTTAAGTATGTACTGTACGGAGAATGTTTAGTTTACGTATATTTAATCTAACGGTTGATATTTCCTGTTTAATGTTTCGAGTTCTATATTTTACTAACTATTTCCACCTTGCGTTAGGGTTAGGGCAGAGACATCCATGGCACAGAGTCGGAGGCGCTTGGACGATCTCCCGGATGAGTTGCTACTGCGGATCATGTCGTGGCTACTCGCCTCACGTCATTTGCATTGCTGTGCTCTGGTAAGCAAGAGGTGGAAGGATTTGGCAAGGCGCGTCACTCACTTCTGCTTGGATTTATTATGCCCTGCTACCGAGGAAAAGTTCATTCACTGGTTCCATCCAGATCATGGCAGCAACCTCCACTTCTTAGAAATCAAACGCCTCTTGTGCGATGCAGATAATATCAGCTCCACTCACTGGCTACAAGTGATCGGGAGAACTCTCCACTCGCTCGCCATTCACGGCATTCCCAAGCAAACGTTTGAGGGCTTCTGGTCCAGCATCTCCGCGTGCCAGCAGCTGCGATGCCTCCACATCCACGCCAGCATTAGCACCAAGCTTCCAACCTCGGCTCCGCCGCTGCTACCCAATCTCCTCTATTGCACTGTTGCAAGATGTCGCGCTTCTGGGGTGAGTCGGCTCCTCGAGCACTGCCCCTCACTCGTGTTCTTGCGCGTGAGAACGGTCGTCGCGACGCGGCCTCGGACATACCTTCTCAAGAGCCACAGTCTCGACTGCCTGCAGATCTCCACTTGCGGTGGCAGCGCTGCTGCCATCTTTTCTCTCGCCATCGACATGCCCAAGCTCCGGTGGCTCTTGGTCAGCGCCGTGCCGTGCGTGGAACTCCAGAGCGCTACATGCAACGTCGAGTGGGTGCTCTTGGATGGAGGTGTGCGCCACCGGGGGCTGTGCCACTCGTCACGCAAGCTCAAGTCGCTCACCATCTCTCCGTCCTTCCGCAGCCCCGAGAATGTTATGCAGCGTCTCGCGCCATTCCCATCGAGAGTGGAAGGCATCAAGGAACTGAGCCTGAGCCTGCTCGTCACGAGCGCTAACGAGTTTCATCCTCGCTGCATCAACCTCGCAGTCTTTTTGGAGAGGTTCCAGGGCCTCGAAGTTTTACGAGTCGCTCATAGAACAATCAAGGTGACCTTTCTACCTTTCTTGATTGGTTGCCAACTTATCATCGTGTTCTTGTAGGTACTGGGCCTGGAGTATTGGAGGTGGAGGCACACGCCATTAGTTGTCCACATCGAGTCGATTTACGCTAGCAGTGGTGTCACCTGGGAGAGCGACGAGATAGATTTTCTGTGGAAGCTCATGAGAACCAACGATTGCGTGACGATGCTCGAGCTGGAAGGCTTCGTTTTCAAGGGCGAGCCCGCTGGTTTTCGGCCGCAACTCCCAGCCGCGTTTGGGGAGCTCTTGCAAGCTTTTCCGGGGCGTGTCAAGCTTCATCCCGTTCGGTTTGGACTGGCGAAGAAGTGTGACATGTTGTGGCGCTCCTGGGAAACCAGAGTTAGATCCGAGGCTCCCTACAAGATCACGGAGCACTGGTGCAAAGAGATGCACCTCCATGACACTCCCTGCGCTTGGGACTGGCAGTAGTGAGTAGTCTCAGGTTTGTTTCGGGAAAAAAATGGAGATGCTCGAGCTTTGGCTCGCCAGACAGTTCTCGATAAGTAGCACTTCTCTTTCATCTCTTGGATATGCTTTTGACTGACGGAGTTTGTGGCGAGTTACCTACAGAGAAAGAGATATATGGTGTCACGGGGCTCCACGTTTGTTTCCTCGGCGATTTCTATGGATTCCACTCTGAGAGGCGTCTCCTCTTTCTCGCACAGGACCAGGTGCTCGAGTTCTCGTCAGGTAGTGTTGGGTTTACTCCGTTCGTTCGACCATAGCCGACAATGTAGATGGCTTTTCTTCGCAGGTGGTCTCGTCTACATGCCAGCTTAGTGATAACTCTCACATTCATGTGAGCCGGAGAGAGGTTCTTGTGGGATTGTCATCTACAAGTCTGGCAGTAAGAACTTCCGGCCGGCCATTGAGTTTCTTTGCCTGATTTTTTAGCAGCACTTTTACTTTTGCTGATAGTTTGGCTCCTGGAATGGGATTGCATCGACAGACAATGCCATGGCAGCGGATCTGATTCAAAGATCACAGCGTGCCGATTTTCTAGGTGAGTGAGACAAAATTTTCCTGAATCCTACCTCTTTGTGAGTGTACAGGAAAAATCAAAGTGAAGCTAGCGAAGGCGATCAAGGTGTTCTTTCTGGTTATAATCAGTTTCGTGCAACTTGGAATGTCAGTTTGTGCTTACAGGAAAATCCGGAACTTGTTCCTTTTCTTCTGCGGCTTGCGTTGAATGACGCGATAACTTATGATAAGGTATCATCGAGACAATGGTTTTCTCTTTCTTTTTCTTCGTGGGTAGCTCATGCTGGCTGGCTCGTCAACAGGAAACCAAAACAGGAGGTCCGAATGGTTCCATACGTCTGAGGTGATCAAGTTTACAGGATTTCTTTCGTTCCATTCATACTGAGGCTTTAAATTCTGTAGCGAGGAGTTGAAAAGACCTGAAAACGTGAAGCTCGACTCGGCGGTAACGTTTCTCGAGGGGCTCAAGAAAGAGATCGATGAAGAATCCAAAGGAGGACCAATCTCATGGGCCGATCTTATTCAAATCGGAGGCAAGAAAAATCTTTTGGTTTTCTTCGTTCAAGTCCGTGAACTTGTTTCTTCTCCACAGGACAAGCTGCGGCAAAGAGAACGTTCTTGGATGCCGCTATCAAAAAGTGTGGTGGCAACGAAGAGAAGGGGAATTTTCTCTACAATGCCTATGGATCAAATGGTCAGGTATGAAATAATGAAAATGGCTGTCGCCGACGCTGATAACATTGTTCTTTGTAAACTTTTAGTGGGGATTTTTCGACAAGCAATTCGGGCGCTCGGATAAACTAGAACCGGATCCCGAAGGCCGAGTTCTTTTGTGGGAAGAAGCTCCGATAGCAGAGATCACGAACAGATTCTCCAAAGTCGGCTTGGGACCAAGACAGGTAACTTTCACGTAGAAATCTTTTCATTCGAAGTTTTTGATAGCGTGCTAGCTCTGCTTATCAGGTTGCAGTATTGTCAGCGTTTCTCGGCACAGATCAAGCGGCCATGGACGCGAAACTTGCACAAGACAGTGAATTAGCACGATGGGTGAAGAAGTATCAAGACAGTAGAGAGACCGTATCGCAAACAGACTACGAGGTAAGATCATCTCGACAAAGTTTTTCCGGAAGATATAACTTAACAATCTATTGCTCAGGTGGATTTGATCGGCGCTTTTACAAGGCTGAGCATCCTGGGCCAAAGCATCAACTACGAGGCCTATACGTATCCTCCAAAGAAATTCAAGCTCAAGCTTTAGCATAGAAATCGCAGTTTATGTAAAACTATAATGTCGATGCAGTGAAATTGATTGATGGCTAGACATTTTTGTCCAATCCTCTAATATAATCCTGCTGATAATAACGTGTTTTATTAGCGAAGGGAAGCTTCGCCAAGGAGCCATAGGAATATCCTGCGCTCGTCGTGCGTCCGCTGGCACGTCACAGCAACAGCTCACCAACCGGCCGGTAGCCGGTAGCTCGTCGAATATTCCACCCGCAAGCATTGTGTTAAATAGAATCTTGAGAGGTATTAAATTTTTAAAACATAAGGCTGCTTTGGTGGAAAAAATTTTGGGGGTTTGCAGGGCAGGCATTCTTCCTCTGGCTCGGCTATGGCGGCACTCCTCCCAGATCTGGCAATGTGGACGCGAATGGAGCTCCACATCGCCATTCTAGCCCTGGCGCTGCTCCTCTGGATGCCGCATCCAGCCGGTAAGAAAAAAAATCCATGGATCTTTGGGTGAGAGATGGAGCAATGCTCCTCCATGCCGTGTTCTTGCGCAGAATCTTTCGATCCCCTGGATCCAAACGGCAACATCACGATCAAGTGGGATGTAATGAGCTGGTCCGCGGATGGCTATGTCGTAAGTTCTCGGGATCCCTCTCTTCCACACACATTTCTTCCGAAATTTCGAGTTCTTTCTCTCTTTCACGGCCTCTAACCCGGGATTTCTTCTTCTCTAGGCACTGGTGACCATGTACAACTACCAGCAATACCGCCACATCGAGACGCCCGGATGGACACTGGGATGGACTTGGGCCAAGAAGGAAGTGATTTGGGGAATGCAGGGAGCGCAAGCAACGATGCAGGGCGACTGCTCCAAATTCAAGGGAAACATCCCTCACTGCTGCAAGCGCGATCCCACCGTCGTGGACCTTCTTCCCGGGGTGCCTTACAGTATGCAAGTCGCCAATTGCTGTAGAGGAGGAGTTTTGGGATCGCTGGCGCAGGACCCGACCATGTCTGTGGCATCCTTTCAAGTTATCGTCGGCCAAGCTGGGACTTCCAACACCACCGTCCAGCTTCCAAAGAACTTCACGATTCGGACACCCGGCCCGGGATACACTTGCGGTCCGGCTAAGAAGGTGAAAGCCAGCTTGTTTCCATCCGCGGATGGTCGGAGACACACACAAGCTCTGAGTGAGTCACTCTTTCTTTGCTTCTTTCGTTTCTTTTGCTCTTGCTCGCTTACGAACTTTGGTGGTGGCGCAGTGACTTGGAACGTGACTTGCTCGTACTCCCAGTACCTGGCACAGAGGGCTCCGACGTGCTGCGTTTCCTTCTCGTCCTTTTACAACGAGAAGATTGTTCCTTGCCAAAACTGTGCGTGCAATTGCAAGCCGAATGTCACACAGTCAGCTCAGCCTAGAGTTCCAATGTGCTTTGATCCGTAAGTCACTTAGTCCGTCCTAGCAATCAATCGATTGTATCTCATCTCTTGTGTTTTTTCCTTTGTAACAGCGATGACAGCTATTTACCTCCCGTGGTCTCCACGGGCATTGGCGCTACCTCCAGCTCTTCCATCACCAAAAACCAGCCGCTACATCCACAGCTCTTCTGCTCGTCCGATATGTGTCCGATCAAGATCCACTGGCACGTCAAAATCAACTACAAGGACTACTGGCGAGCCAAAGTCACAATCACAAACCGTCACGTCAAGAACTACACGCAGTGGAATTTGGTTGTCCAGCATCCCAATTTCAACAACTTGACCGAGGCATTCAGCTTTACGTACAGGCCACTGCAAGCCTATGGATCAATCAGTAAGTGAATGGAGCTTTGCTAGAATCACAAAGATGTTCTAACTTCAATCACAGATGACACGGCAATGTTTTGGGGGATCAAATTCTACAACGACATGCTCATGCAAGCCGGGGAAATGGGAAACGTCCAGTCGGAGGTCCTCTTACAAAAGGGCGATGCTTTCACTTTCAGCAAGGGATGGGCTTTTCCTCACAGGGTGCTCTTCAACGGAGACGAGTGCGTCCTGCCGGATCCAGACTTGTATCCTTGGCTACCCAGTGCAAGCTCGCAGCTCAGATCCGGCTTGGTTTTGATAACTACACTGCTCGCCTTCTCCACCGCGAAGATCCTTGCGCTCTTCTAGGCTTCGAAGGCAAAGCGGTCTCGACGAGCGCTTAGTGTGCGACAATAATCACGATCAGGGAAAAAATGTACAGCGATCTCTCAAGACAATGGCGACTTTTTTTTCGAAACATATGTAGCTGGATGGTGGAGTTTTTGTCAACTTGGCCGTGTTGGTGGCACGCACAACATCGAGTTCTTCTTTTTTCTTCTATCATTGCTAGTGAAACACCACCAATACTCGCATCAAACAAAAATGTACTCTATTAAGGACGTGAGCTAATAGAATACCAAGTTTCTATTCGCATTTGGAGTATATTTGCATTGTGGCCAGCAGCAAGTTACAATGTAACATCCAGGAGATCCCAAATCTGGACGGTCGAGAACAAAGTCAACGACCATGGGCCCGAATCACAGCCGCCCAACGAAGCACGTCGGCATGTCCTTCGTGCGCTCGGCTTGATCACGTCGATGGCGATCGGCGCGAGAGCGATTTGATGGATTGGCCGTCGAGCTGGAACGATTCATACCTGAGGAAGAACTCGGCGAGGAAGAGGCGAGTGACCAAGATGATGAAGTCCTTCCCGGCGCACTGCTTGTTATCCACGCTGGGGTTCTCGGTCTGGGGGCCATTGGACCACAGGACGTACTTGAGAAGCTTTGCTCCATCGTCGCCCATGAATCGCCGCGGCAAGAACTCGTTGGGTCGATCAAACACCACTCCATCTCTCGTCGCAAATGGCTGGAATCCACACAGCATCTCGCCCTTCTTCACGCGAAACGCCTCCTTGTGGCTCTCGATCACCATATCCTGGCGCGCGCGGGCATACTGGAACGGTACCGGCGGCTGGAAGCGCAGGCACTCGTACACCACCGAGTGGAGCAGCGGCATGCCGTCAATGGACCGCGCGGTAAGCCGCCCGCCGGCGTCGCGTACCGCTGCCGCCACCTCATTGCTGAGCTCCTTGGCGACGCCGCTCTCGTGGACGCGCTGGACTACCTCCGGCAGCAAGCGGATCAGCCCGCCAAAAGTGTTGAAGCAGACCATGAAGATGAGGTTGTGGAGTGCCTCGTCGCGCGGTACGCCGTGCGTCGCGGCCAGGTCGAGCAGCGCGGTACTGTGGGCCGAGAAGTAGGAGACGATGGCTTCGTAGTCTTTCTTGACGACAGCGAAGGGGAGAGGGACGACGTGGAGGAGCTCCATGATGGGCGGAGGAATGGCGTCGAGAAGGGCGACTGGAGCAATCTGTGGAGCGAGCCATTTCTTGATAGTTTCGGTGCTCAGGCCGGATGCTCCAGTGGCGTCGTGATCCATGAGGGCTCTCGTCAGGAACGCCAGGCAGATCTCCTCAATCGAGGAAATGAGCTCAGGGGCTTGCTTGGCTCGCAGTTCCTTCTCCCAGCGATCGAAGCAGCGGCACGCCGCGAAATCCATCCCGGGGACGATGCTCTTGGCCCTGGATTTGAGCATGTCGAAGCAAAAGGCCTTGATCTGGGCGTGGCGGGGCTCATCCGCGTCGAGATAGGAGAGGATGCGATAGCCACCATTGAAATCGGCGCTGGGCTTGTAAGTTCCCGTGAAGACATCGCGCTTGCTCACCTTGGAGACATCGAAGAGAGCTGGGAAGCTCTGCTGGTCCAGCAGCACGATCACCCGGGGATCTGGGAAGAATGGCGGCCCCGGGGGCATGTTGACGCGAAACACTGTGCTCTGGTACTTCTCAGCTCGGCTCCGGAAGAACTCCTCGGCGCCTTGGAAGTAGAAATAGTTGAAGCGGTCGGAGATGGATCCGAGCAGAGGGAGGCCATAGCTGCCAGGGATTTCGCGCTGGATCCTCTTGGTGGGCGATAATGCAGTGGCCTTCCACGCAGAGCTATGGAGCTGGTACCTGAAATTCGTGGCAGGCCTTGACTTGGAGGCGATCCAGCATCCTCTTGCTCCAACGCCGCTGCTGCTCAAGGTGGTGGATCGATCGTTGAGGAAGCTCGCCATTTCCTTTTCTAAATGCTGCTCCACCTTGGCCTTATCAAGGTGCTCGACACTTTTTTATAATGCTTGGAACAAGCTACTACTTATTCTTCTAGCTCGTGCTCATTCTTGAGAAGGCACAAGCAGGCCCACTTTGTATGTTAGGTTTGGAGTTTCGCCAGAGCTGGACATGGTTTTCCCCACGTTTAATCCGTTGCTGAGACAGCAATCTTCCGGCCTGCCAATGGGACGCTTCTATACGGCATTCCAGGATTCCAAAACAAGTGTCGAGAATTCCCAAAGGAAGATATTCTAATTATCCATTGCGGTGCCACCATGTAAAGGTGGTGCTGGCGATAACGAGCACTCTACTTCACAGTGGGCACATAAAGATGCATATTGTGCTCTCAAGTCGCTAGCAGCTGATGTGTAAGTGCGTCCCTGTGGACTGACCAAGCCGAGGTGCTGTTTTACCCAACATGGACAGGACTCGGAGCGAGGACAACGCTGGTCTTGTTAACTTCTTTCGGATCGTCCATGTACATCGAGTGCGCCAGGGCCTCCAATCCAAGGTCATCTTCTTCTTGGCAATGACCACCTTTGTTGCTGGATCAACCTTGGGCCGGCCTTGACTGATCTGTCAAAGTCGCGGTCTCCATCTTGCCATCTCTATGCCAAGCCAGCATTGACTTTCAAGCAGTACTAGAGCGAGAGCTTGGTCATTGACGGCCAGGCTCGAGCCGCCCCTCGAGCCAGGAACGTAAGCTCTCGGAAAGATTTTTCAAATCTTGACGAAGAACAAGCTTACACCCGCAATTGAGGCATCTGGCAGTGGCGACCATTCTCAAGCAGACATGAGTGGCCTCCGGGAAGCCTCGTCTTCTGTGGAGCAGTCGATCGGTCACAAAAGCTTGTAGGGCATATTCCAGGATCGCTTTGTATTTGCATATACGTGGGCTGTTGAGGGCCGCAAGCATTTTTCGTCAATGGCGGGAGGCGTGGTTCTGGCGAGGGTGGGATTCATCGCACTGGGCACGATTTTGGCCGCGACGATTGCTTATACTTGCGTCACGGATGGATCGCCGTTCAGGATGGAGCTCCTCACACCGTGAGTGAATTGGATCTGGAATTCGTTCCAGTTGATTCGGCTTTTGGTTTCTCAGGTGGATGAAGGAGACCTTGCTGGATTTCTACATTCTAGTCTTCATTTTTGGCGTGAGAGAGGAGATTCTAGCTTCTTTTAATTGCAGTGGACTAACTGTGTTTCGTGCAGTGCTGGGTTTGGTACAAAGAAGACAGTGTCGTGAGCAGAATTATATGGATAGTTCTCCTGGTTTGCTTTGGAAGGTATTTACATTTCTTAGCTTTTCTCCTCAACTCCACAAGATTCTAAATGTAAGCTCTTTCCAGTGTCACTGCTGCATACTACGTGAGCATCCAGCTCTTTAAGATTTCTGTCCACGATCCAATCTACACCATCCTCTACAGGAGGTATGATAGCATCGAGTAGGTTGTGATCTTTCTAAACTCTTGATTAAAATGAGAAGACAGAGAACATCGCAACACAAAATGGAAACTAACCTAAGCTAGAATCTACCATATAACCATTTCTCAGGGGAGAGCTTGAAATATTAGTGTTTGTATCGGTACCTCCAAATCGACCCTCAACGGCTCTAGCGGACTGTGTGGTTCTTGAGGCTAAGTTTCTATGGCCAACTTTACCATGGTTTAGAGGATAGCATCAAGTACACAACACCATAGTTGGCCCCCAAATCTAAAACCCAAAAAACATTATTTTTCTTTAGAACTTTAGGAAAACATTTTGTTTCTCTTTAGTATCAATATGGAATTCTTTTATGCTTCTTAGCGGAAGGAGCCGGCGCCGGGGCCGGAGGCGAGATGGGAGCTTGCGCTTGAGGGCGAGCACAGCAAATCAGCCTGCCATTGATATTTGTGGCAAGCTTGGTCACATCCACTGCCCGACCGTCCCGACGCTTGCAGCTGAAGTCTCCGCAACTCGAATCAAACGTACAGCTCCGGACGTGCAAAGGGCAAGACTTGACATGGAGTGTCGTGTTTTGTTTCGTGCCATCTATTTTGGTGCATCTTGCGGCGAGGACTCCGGCTTTCTGGTCGTAAGAGCTCAGACTGCACGTATCCAAGAAACTACCAGTGCAAAATTCCGTAGCTACACCGTGATGGCCGTGATCTTCATGGCTGTATCCAGGAGTATCATCAGATGATCCAGAAGCCTGCAAAACGTAAACAGGATGAATGAAACTAAACAAGCAGGATAACTTACAGAGATCACCACAGCCAATACTGTCAAGATCAAACTAGACTTGAACATTTTCAACTACTGCTACCTCTCTACAGCCGAGGAGCCTGCATTTGTAATTTATATTGTAGATCAACCGCAAAAGGCCAAGATCAATAGGCCAGCGATCTCACCACAGCAAATTTTTCCAGCTATTGTATACATTAAGTCAACACAATAAACTATGCTTCGTGAGCGAATTCTAAATTGTCTTGGAACAAAGTATTATAGCTGGTCCGTTACTCCTGGGACGGGAGGGACTTTGGGCTTTGGCTTTCTCACTTTGTCCACGGCGATGGCCTCGGTTGTCAACACCATGCCCGCCACAGACGCCGCATTCTGGAGAGCGCACCTCGTCACCTTTGCCGGATCCACCACTCCGCCCAAAACCAAGTTTTCAAACTTATCCGTCATCGCGTTGTAGCCAAACTCCCACTCGCTCTCGAGGATTCTTGACACCACCATTTGTCCCTCCACGCCCGCGTTGCTGGCAATCAAAGCTGCCGGAGCTAAAAGTGCCTGGAAAAGAGAGTGAAAGCCAAGCCACCAGCGAAGGTTGCCATACCTTTTGCACGATATCAGCACCGAGCTTCTCTTGAGGATCGCTTAGACTCTCCTTGATGCCTGCAACAGCCGCTGACAAGTGAACCATGGCCGCTCCTCCGCCCGGAACAATTCCCTCTTTGACAGCAGCGAAAGTGGAGTTCTTTGCGTCTTCAAGCCGGAGCTTTCGATCTTCGGCTTCCGCCTCCGTCGCAGCTCCAACCTGTAAAAAGACAGCTTCTAAGACTTTGAGCGTGTTCTCGAGAGATATGTGTTGCTACAAACCTTGATAACAGCCACTCCACCAGAGAGCTTTGCGATTCTCTCTGCTAGCTTCTCGGAATGATATGCGGAGTCTGACAGCTCCAGGTCTTTCTTGATCTCAGCAACTCTTGCCTTGATCTCTCCCTTGGTAGCATCATCAGCCAGAATGACCGTCGACTTCTCTTTGATTGTAACTTTCTTTGCAACACCAAGCTGATCGATCGTCAAGTCTTCAAGTTGCAATCCTAGCTCACCAGCCAGAAACTCGGCACCTACAAAAGAAAGAAACGTCAAGTGCCTCCTAGAAAATGGAAGAGCAGCAAACCTGTGAAGATTGCAATGTCTTGAAGGAGGGCCTTCTTCCTATCACCATAGCCTGGAGCTTTGACAGCAGCAACCTGCGCAACGCCCCTCGTCTTGTTGACAACGAGCATGGACAGTGCTTCTCCTGTTACGTCTTCGGCTATAACGAGCAATGGAGTGCCCAGGTGTGTGACTTTCTCCAGAGCTGGAATTACATCCTTGGCTGATGAAACTCTCTGGTTTGTCACCAGGACGCGCGCGTTTTCAAGCTCCACGGTCGACTTGGATTGATTGTTGACAAAGCTTGTGGAGATGTAGCCCCTGTCAAACTACTGTTATGTGCTAAGTCGTCTCAGCAAAGAACGCAAACAAGAGAAACACGTACGAAACATATACCTGCATTCCCTCCTCGATCACGAGAAAAGTTTCCAAAGTTGACGACGATTCGATCAAAAGGATCCCATCCGGACCAATTCTGTCCAAAGCGTCCGCTATCATTTTCCCGACAGCATCGTCGTTACCAGCAGAGATCGTCGCGATTGCTGAGGAACGAGCAAAGTAAGCAACAAGTTTTAGAAAACACCACCGAGCATACCTTTGATATCGTTGTGGCCTTTGACGGGCCGCGATCTTCGTGTTAATTCCTCTACCAACATCGAGACCGTCTTATCGATTCCTCGTTTTAAAGCAACAGGATTGGCACCGGAAGATACGCTTAAGAGGCCGAGCTTGACAAGTTCCCTTGCCACAACAGCTGCCGTGGTGGTGCCATCGCCCGCGGAATCGTTCGTTTTCATCGTCACCTATGAGTATGATTCGCAGAAGTTTAGAAGAAACGAAGAGAAAGAAGCCAGACCTCTTTGATGAGTGAAGCTCCAACGTTTTCCATTGGGTCTAGAAGTTCAATCATCTTTGCGATTGTTACTCCATCGTTGATGACTTTGGGTATATCCTTGTCCTTCTCATCGAGAACAACGTTTCTCCCTGTAGAAAAACCACTTGAAAAAAAAGTTCTCTTCCAACAGAGAAAGCAAACCTCGAGGTCCCAGTGTGACACCAACCGCGTCCACCAGTTTGTCAATCCCGGCTTGTAGAGCCAGTCGAGATTGCTCGCCAATCGCGATCTTCTTGGCATCCGCGCACACTAGCAAGGATTTTCTAGCTCCCCTTTGTTTGCACCACAGGCTAGCACCTAGGTAGTCCCTTCCAGGATCCACAAAACTAAGATTTGTTCTACTTACAAGACCTTTTGGCCTCGCCAGCGTTGCGAGCGAGGAAGTCGCCATAAACCCAAGCTCTGGGTTTTGCATTGCCGTGTATAGCCCTATTACTCGAGAGCAAGAGAGAGAGAGAGAGGCAAAAAAATGGTTCTTGTTTATCATTAGAGGCGCTCTTGGTCGCTTTTTAAAATTGGAATTGCATCTCCTTAGAGTAGCCGAGCGCATCCAAGTGTGTGGCCATCGCTTTGTTCATCGGAGGAGGTCCACACCTCAAAATCTGTTTGTTGAAAGAAAATAGAGTTCGTCATCGCTTCTAGCTTTTGAATTCTTCTCGTGCTACGTACCTGGATATCATCGGCAGGAGCTGGGCAGTACGTCTTGATCATGTCCGCTGTTACAAAGCCTGCGCCACCACTCCAATCTGCAGGAGGCTGGACCGAGAGAAAGTAAGAACAAGTTAGTTGCACTTAAGCTGAGAAAAAAGAGATTTTGCGATGTGTGGAGCTGAGAAACTCACGTCATTTAGTACGTAGTACACTCCAAAGCGGCCCGGGAATTTCTTTACCATGCTGTCGAGCTCTTCCTGTAAAAAAGACAAGAGTGACAAGACCGCGCTCGATGATAGAAAGCACAAAAGCACTTTACCTTGAGCAATATATCGTCATATGTCACGTTCCCATAGATGAGGAAGATCTTTGTTTTGTCAGCCGGGTTCTCCAAAATGGCCCGAGTCACCTGAAATGTAGAAACATAATTTCATGCTCGTATCTGAGGCTAGAAAACGTGAGGGCTTGCCTGGTACATTGGAGTCAGGCCGGAACCACCAGCAAGCATACCGAAAGCTCTGAATTTGTTTGGCTTGTAAGTGAAGCGGCCCTGTTTGCAAAATTCCTGTTGTTGAGAAGGAAGCTATGGAAGGAAATCACTTCACCTTGGGTCCTTTGCACGATAAGTAGTCACCCTCTTTGAGCTCGCTAAAATGGTAAGACATTCGTCCTAGAGAATAAATCTGCAAGAAGTTTCTTTTGAGACATGGAACGTTCGCTCGTTTGGTGAGGAGAAACACACCTTGACAACGAGTTCGAAGTAACCAACATCCGAATCCAGCGTCGTCGGTGTGTAAGGCTTGATCACATCAGCTCCATCTCGGTCTTTACCACTAGCGAGCAAAGAAAAACACAATGCGTGAGCAAGGATCGCGAAGGGATGGAATTTTTCTTACCGGCACATCATATGCTGGCCGATTGGAAGTCCCAAAATCGTGGTTGGAGTCTGCAATGCAAATCGAAACTTGGTAACGTTGGGGCTAACCTGGACCCTCTTGACCAGCTTGAAATCGATCCATTTCTCGGGATCCAAAGCCCCTGGAAGGAAAAAAGAGCCAGAAAAAACGTAAACATCCTCACGACCTAAACTCGCGAGCGCACAGATTCGAGACAAGAATGCCTTGCGCATCGGATCTGTGAAGAAATCCGAGGAAGAATCACTCACTCTTGGAGCGGCGGCTGGAAATCCACAAGAACAACGCGCCGGCGACGATGGAGAGCAGGGCGACGCCAACGCTGACATTGAAGGCGCTGAGTGGAAAGATTGGCGTCGCGAGCTCCGCGCTCCCCATCTCCCTCCTCGCGCTTCGTCCTCTCTCCCACAGAAAGGGTGTGTTCTTCTTCTTCTCCACAGTCGATCAAATCGGACGGCCAGGAAACCTTACCGACCATTTTCCCACGTGATTTGCCTACCATTCAGCCGATCGTCCGTACCATCCATCCCATGGTCATATATGTACGGCATAAACCCTAAACTCGCTGGCGGGTTAGGGTTTAAGGCGAAGCGAGGATGCAGCACGACGAGGTGATATGGCAGGTGATCAATCACAACCAGTGTAGCTTCCGGGCCAAGTAAGCGAATCGATTGCCGCCGGTGGATCTCTCTCTCAATTGCGATCGATCGGAAATGCAGGACCCAGACGCAGAGTTTCTGCCGGAATCAATACAATGTCACGGGGCTTTGCAATCGCAGCTCCTGTCCTCTTGCCAACAGTCGATATGCCACAATTAGGGAACACGAAGGCAAGCAAGCTCTTTCTTCTTTCTTCTCAAAACAACTTATTTTCTTTCGTTTTTTCTCAGGGGTTTTGTATCTCTATATGAAAAGTATAGAGAGAGCACACACTCCAAATAAGCTGTGGGAAAGGTTGAAGCTTCCGAAGAACTATGCGAAAGCTCTGGAGCTCGTTGACAAGCATTTGGTATGTTTTAGATGGATTTTAGCACTCTGCTCATGGTTCAATCTATGGTTTTTCCTTGTAGCAACATTGGCCGAAGTTTTTGGTACACAAAAACAAGCAGCGTCTCACAAAAATGACACAGTATTTGATCCGAATGCGCAGGCTCGCCTTGAAAAACAAGTTCGTATAGTTGTTGCCTCAATCTCTTCTCTTACGGATTTTTCGTGCGCTCCTTCACTGCAGTGAAAAGCTTGTGACGATGCCTGCAAAGCAAGTCAAGAGGGAGGCCCGTAGGGAGGCGAAAGCTGAAGTTGCGGCTGTTCTTGACAGGGTAATTGCAACAAGATCATTGGTTTTCTTTCCATGTCTTAGAACCAACACTCGTTGTTTCAGGCGATCGAGAAAGAACTGCTCCAGAGGCTTCAAAGTGGTACTTACGGTGACATATACAATTTCCCAACCGAGCTCTACAACAAAGTTCTCGATGACACGCAACTAGAAGAGGAAGAAGAAGAAGAGGTAGCTGACATTCCAGACAAACATTGCTCACTGCCAAGTTTTTCCGTTTCTTTTCTCTTTCCAGGAAGAAGAAGAAGAGCCCGTGCCAGAGTATGTAGAAGGATATGACGAGCTGGAAGAAGAGGATGATATCGAAGACTTCACAGCCATGAATATGCTCGAGAACGATGGAGATGACGCTCAAGACGACAGCGATGGCAGTGACGAGGAGGAGGAAGACGATGGCGATGACGATAGAAGGCGGAAGCGTAAAGAGGGTGCTCTTCTTCCAAAGAAGAAGAGGCGGCAAACAGTTGAGGTGCGTGGTTCCTTCTTCCTTGGGGAATTTTCTCACGCGCTCTCCTTTTTGTAGGTCGAGTACGAGGAAGAAGGGCAGCAACAAAGACCCGTCATGGGTCTTAGCTAGAAGCGTGATCGTTGCTCTCACGGCGATGGTGATCGTGTGCTTGATCCAATGCTCCAGGACTGGAACCGTGTTCTTTCGGAGTATGTCCGAAATGGGAATCTCCACGAAGCAAAGAGAGTGTTTGATTCAATGCCACACCACTCCGTTGTGTCATGGAACTGTATGATTTCGGTGTATGCCAGGAACGGGCATTCTCGGCAAGCTCGATCCGTCTTTCAGCAGATGCCTTGGAAGAATCTTATATCTTGGAATCTCCTTCTCGGCGCGTTCTCCAGATCTGGCGACCTCGAAGCGTCCATAGCTCTGTTCGACTCAATGCCGCTGTGGGATTTGGTGTCGTGGACAGCCATTATAAAAGCATTTGCCGCAGCGGGGTATTTTTACATAGCAAAGCGCTTGCTCGATCAAATGCCAGAACACGATCTTATATCGTGGACGACAGTTGCAGCACAATTTGCATCAGACGGCCAAGTTGATGCCGCGAAAGCGATGTTTGATTCGATGCCACAACTGGATCTAATAGCCTTGACTGTGATGCTCGACGCGTATGCCCAGAGTGGACATCATCATCTTCAAAGAGCCCAAGAGCTGTTTGATAGGATGCCCGAGCGGAATCTCCTGGCATGGACGGCTCTTCTTCACGCCCACACGCAAGCAGGAAATATCCAAGGCTGTGAGAGCGTGTTTGAAGACATGCCAGAGGCAGACCTCGTCTCGTTAACTGCAATGCTTGTTGCATATGCACAACAGGGCCGAGTTCGCGAAGCAAGGGATACCTTTGATGCCATGCCGGAGAGAAATCTCATAGCGTGGACGGCTCTGCTTTCTGCATATGCCCAAAACGGGCATTTGGAGCTCGCCGAGGACGTTTTCAACAGCATGCCACAAAGGAATGTTGTGTCCATGGAGGCGTTGCTTTCGGGATATGCTCTTGGCGGCCGCGTGGAAGAGGCCAAGGTGATGTTTAATAGTATTCCAGAGAGAACTCTTGTGTCGTGGAACTCGATACTTGCAGCGTATGCTCAACATGGACATGTGAAAGAAGTGAAGGCCTTGTTTTACGAAATGCCCGCTCGGGACCAAGTAACTTGGGACACTCTTTTGTCAGCCCTGACGCAAAATGGACACCTTGAGCTTGCGAGTGTTGTTCTCGGATCCATGCCTGAGCGGTGCTTGGTATCGTGGAGCGTGATGCTTGCTGCTTATGCTCAAACCGGGCACATACTCGAAGCGCTGGACACCTTTGATCATATCAAGGCGGAGTTTTTCCCCGACCAGTCCTGCTTCGCTCTCGCTTTGATTGCGAGAAGCTACAGCGGAAATGTGGAGCGTGGTGTTGCCTGTTTCATTTCCATGGCCATGGACTTTGGTTTGGTCCCAAACAAGCGGCATTTTTGCTGTATGATCGATTTGTTTGCGCGTGCCGGGCATCTGGATCACGCCAGGGATCTCATCCTCAACATGCCCTTTGAGCCCGATGCGCTCGAGTGGAGATGCTTGCTAAGTTCCTGCATTAGCCACCAACAATCTGGCTATGCTGGCTATGGGGCCGAGGTCGCAGGTCGTGCTCTTGGACTCGACTCCAGGCATGGGTCCGCGTATGTGCTGCTCGCAAATGCCATCGCTCAGTGAAAGGCATGGCTAGTTTTAACGTTTTGCGCCAAACACTACCAATTTGCGGGCTTCTATTGGACAAGAAATATAGACAAAAGGATAATGGTAAGGGTGTGCATCAATCACAATTTAGGAAAATGTGTCACAAGCCAAAAAAAAATGCGGGGCCTAATCAAATCGAATCGAAAACACTCCCTCTCCCCCGACAGGTCGCCGACAGGCGCACGGGCGTTGGGCCACGAACGCCGGCTCACAGCCATGGCGACGCGTGGCGGCCATCCGTACGGCGGCCGCCACTCCCGCCGTCTTTTCACCAGTCTTGTTGTCCATGTCAGCAGACATCCCAACCGTCGATTCCACGCGTTTGACCGCGGCCTGCCAAGCCCGGCCGGCGGCCGGGTGGGCACCTGAAAGGCTGTCGTACGTGGCTGCCGTGCGCTTGTGCCAGGCGGCAGCCGTGTGGTCATCCTGCGCGCAGCCCAGTAACACCTTCCCGCGCGGTGCGCAAGAGCCGCGAAAATCAGATGGTTGGCACGTGGGGCCACCGCAGGGGCCGTACACTAGGTAGGTGGCCGTCAAACATACAAACCGCATGCATCACCACATGATGATTGCCTGCAAATCACCCGGGCCCCTCGTCTTCATACTTCATACATACTTTAACCAAGACGTATTTAGAGCCTAGGCAGACGTCGCGAGGCCTCTCTCTGTCTGGCGAGCTATACGCTCTACCCTACGCCCAGCACATATAAGTGTATAATACAGTACTGGACAGGGATTTTCAGCTATCTATGGTGGGGAGGGAGGTGGCTGGCGGTGGTCATGCAGTCTGCAGTACAGTGCAGTGCCCTGCCTGCTGCTGCAGCCCCACCGCCCCAGTGCGTGGGTGGCGGCGCTGTGACAACATGCATTGCACACTACCCGGGGGATTCCCGGCAAACGGCACGCCCGGTCCCTCTACTGCCGGCATTTCCTTGTTTGAGTGGCGATGGCGGGATCGGGATGGTTTTTCTAAACGAAGGCTAAAGGCTTAATCCGTTTCATAATCAAGGGTATCGTTACCGAGATTAAAGGGTTTTTAAGGAGTAAACCTCGGGCGTGTGGTACCTGCACAAGGGAACATTAACAACAAAGAAAATCATAACCTCTACCATACTTGCTGTTGCATGGGAGGGAAAATTAATTTAGGAGGACCCCCGAGGACACGGTAATTTAAAGTGGTGAAAACGGCTGGGAGGGATAGAATGGATGCATGGATGGACCGTGGACGGCCATGGGATAAATGATATGGCATGGGCATACCCATGGGATGGGACCCTCCATTCTCAAGCTCTCGAGTTTCTACGTGAGGTAATGTGTAGGTAAGCTGAAGAGTGAAGTGAAGACCGTAATGTCGGTGACCAAGGGGTAAAACAGATGCACCCCTGGCGCGTGACAACAGCACCGCCGGCGTTGTGCGTGTACGGATGGCGGCACTCTGCAAGGGCGTGATTCACGGGTAGGCGGCATATGCCGTCCTCTCTTTTCAATCCAAAAATTTAGGTTACTCTATTGGTCTTTTGCCGCCAGCGCCGCCACGGATGCTGGCAGACAAGACCTCTTCTCCGAGAAGGCATGGATCTGGTACGGACATGCGTGGTCACATGTCTGATTTGTGGCCATGGTCATGCTGGCATCAGCACCTCTGGTGGGGGCGGCGGAATGATTCCATGAAGGTACGCGCGAAAAAGCAGCCGGTGAGTAGCCGTATAGAGTGTGACATGGGGGCATGGGGCCCATAAGTCCGGGCACGCCACGTGTCTGCGAGTCCACATGCATCATCACCGACCAATGCCATCCATGTCAGCCTGGGGCATAAATGGGAGAAAAGATAAACTATTTTCCGACTAAACAAAAGACGCGAAAAGGAATGAAAGAAAATACCGCCATGCATGTGGGACCGGCCGGGCTGGACGGCGCCGCGCATTGAAGGGCGGGCGCGGCGGCGCGAGCACACGATTATGCCGGATCTGCCCGTCGCCGCCCGTCATGCCAGTCCGGTCCCACCTCGGGTCGGCACCCGTCACTGTCCGCGCTGCACCGTGGCCGGCCTGACGGCCGGGCTTTGACCATTGACGGCCGCAACGAAACAAATCTTGGTCGTCCGATCCGCCAGCGCCATTTTAGGTCTAGCCCGCCGCGCCGTCCGCATGCGGCCGGCCGTTTCGCCGGCCCTCCCGCCGCCGCCGCACGCACGCCCGGGAAATCCCTCCCTTGCGGTTAAAATAAAATTTAGCGCTTGGAGCATTAGGGTTCTTCATGGGTCTTTGAAGCGTTTCTCTTCTTCTTTGCGGAGAGAGTTTCTCTAGGAATCGAGCTTCTTCTTGGTCTGCCCGATCGGGTCGGCCGATCCCTTCGATCTGGAAGGTTGCTAGCGAGCTAGCTGCTGAGCAGCGAGCGAGCAAGCGCAAGCGAGCGAATTCATCCATTCCTCCATTCATTGGATTGACGAATCGAAAGGAATGAGAATGGGTGGCTTCAAGGCGGAGGAGGCGGCGGCGAGCATCAAGTCCGTGGCGGCCGGCGGCGCGGCGGTGAAGGAGGCGCACTTCCGGGGCGTGAGGAAAAGGCCGTGGGGGCGATTTGCGGCGGAGATAAGGGATCCCTGGAAGAAGACTCGCGTGTGGCTCGGCACCTTCGACACCGCCGAGGAGGCGGCGCGGGCCTACGACAATGCAGCCCGGGCGCTGCGCGGAGCAAAGGCCAAGACCAATTTCACCCCGCCCTGCGATGATCAGAGCACCAGCCAGAGCTCCACCGTGGAATCTTGGAGCAGTCCCAAGTACGAGCAGCAGCACCACCACCACTTGATCCACCACCGCCCTCCTCCGCCGCTGGCGCTGCCCGTCGCCAGCGATCTCTCGTCCTGGAGGGGGCCGAGCAGGATGATTGGATCCGGGCGGGCCTCCAGCGTTGTGGATCTGAATCTAGGAATGCCCGACCTCGCCTCGTCCATGATCCAGATCGTGGACGATGGCCAGCACCAGCACCAGCACCAGCAGCAGCGCTATCACCCATCAGTCCAGACCGGAGGAGGCCACGAATCCGCCATCTCCACCATCACAAGCTTCCGCCCTTGCCGAGGCCCATTCGAGGCCATCCCGGTGGCTACTCCACTCCACTTCCTCCACCACCAACATCCCATCTGCTCCTCCGCCAACAACAGCGGCCATGGCATCAAGCGATCCTTGATCATCCCCCAGGCGCTGCCGGTGGATTCCTCGCCGCCATCGCTCCCCCTCGCTCGCCAGGCTTTTGCTCCCGACGCCAAGAAGATGAGGACTGGTGCTACCACCCACAACACTAGTTCTTCGTCGGCCGTGGCGCTAGCGGCGCTGGATCATCACCACCATCAGGCAGCGTGGCTCGTCAAATCTTCTCCTTGCTTGCAGCCACAAGAGCCGGAGCAGCAGAAGGCGATCCAGCAGAGCTCCACATATCAGAGCGACTGCGATTCCTCCTCGTCCGTTATCGATGCCGAGGCAGCTCCTCCGGTATCCACCAAGCCGCTTCCATTTCTCGACTTGAATCAGCCTCCGCCTTGTTCCGAGGAGCCGCAAATCGCTGCTCCTGCCAAGCTCATGCATCTGCTCACATGATCTAGCAGCAGAGAGTCGAGAGAGTGAGATGAATCCATTCACGCATCCTGTAGGTGCCGTGAGGAACAGAAAGAAGAAGAAGAAGATAAGATGGTTGTTCTTTTCCTTCTAATCTTCGTTTGATCGATGGATCGATCGAGAGGCCATGGCTGGCTGGCTGGCACACACACAAACGCGTTTGTCTTGTAAAGATTTATGGTTTCTCCTTGAAATGCAAAGAGACTGTGTGTCTCGGATTGATCGATCAATCATAGAAACTGTTTTTGTGGATCGGGATCGGGGTCGGATAGAGGAATGGAATTTTATAAAACCATTTGGATTGGTTTGGTTTGAGTTCGTTCGTCTTGTTTTTTCTCTCTCTCGTTTTGTGCCGCTGCGCGGCCTATTTCTTGGTGTGTCGAAGGTTAGCCATAACGAACCATGGCGATGGACGGGAATGGAAATGCGCCCCTCCACCAAGAACAAGAAGGCCCGTCGCGTCGCGTCGTGTTCTTGCGCTGCTGCTGCTGACAATCGATGCTGTTGGAGAATCGGAGATGCAATCGTTGCCTTGGATCGGTCGTTAGGAAGCTCTTGTTCTTTCCTTTTGTTTCCGTTGAGATCTCCGAAGAAAATTTCTTTTTCTTTTCTTTCTCTTGCATTCACAAAAACTATTAATGGCGGCCATGGAACAGTTAACTGAAACAACGAAGACGAACAAGTCTTACTTGGTAAACTTGATGGATTGTCTCAAAGCCTTTCTAGCAGTCTTTCGCTTATAGCTTGCTTTCCAGCTCGGTGGCGAGCGAGGGCCCATGTCTTTGCCATCTGTTTGACACACTCGAGTTTCGAGGTACCAGCAAAACGTCCATTGTTAGTCAAATGGACGAGCGATTTCGCTACTTTATAGAAGGAAACGAAAGGAAAAAGGATACGTCACTCACTTTGAAGCAGCCAGCCGGCGCGTCTAGCAGCCTTTGGAGAATCCCAACGCCAGAGGACAGAAGACCATTGCTTCGCTGCGCCTGTCGAGTCAATCCGGCTCGAGCTATGGATCACTGTGGTGGTGTGTCAAGATCTTAGCGAGAATCTGCTCCAATTTCCTCACAGATGGCACCAGCAGCTTGTCCACGATCAGCCGTGCCACAGTAGTCCCGAGTGGCAGCGATTTAGTGTGTTCGTCTTGCTTCACCACGCCAAGTGTTGTTCTACCATCCTCCAAAGCTCGAGCGGAGACTGTGCACGACTCTAAATCGTCCATCGACTCCGTGATCATGCCAGACCCCAGGCAAGTCTCTCCAGCATAAAACGCTGCGTACTGACCGGCTGCTAGAGCTTGATCGCTGTGTAGCAGTTTCACACGAGCACCCTGCTTCTCCCGTTCAAACTCGAGCTCGCAGTCGTGAAAACTGGGACCGTGACGGACCTGGGGCCACGGAATTCCTGGTAAATCGACGACAAGGACGATGAAAACGAGAAAATCCCACCTTGCATTTTATCGGACAACTGGGGTCGGGTATCGTTGAAAACCAGCTCAAATTATCAACGTAGAAGTTTCGTCTCTTCTTATCCCCGGAAAAGTAATGCCTTGAAATATAAACCAGATTTTTCTCCGAGTCCTTTGCCACAACGTACCTGCACGACACGACTGCAGTGAGGGGGGGAAAAAATTTCTTTTGAGAACGTACCACGGTCCGTGTGAGAGACTAATACCACGCCTCTGGCCGATTGTGTAGAACCAGAATCCTTTGTGTTTGCCCATTGTTTTTCCGGTCTCGGCCTCGATGAGAAGACCTTCCTTTTCGCCAAGGTGTCTGGATATGAAGTCACTGAATTTGACCTGTAAAACCCGTCCATCAAAGAGACATTGTGAGACGGCACCAGCAGAAACGAACCTTGCCAAGGAAGCAGATGCCTTGTGAATCTTTCCGATCCTTGTTTGGAAGATTCAGAGAATGAGCAAGTTGACGGACCTCAGGCTGCCAGCATTCGAGTTACTTGCGAGTGAAAAGAGAAAAAGTCGAGATCCTCACCTTCGCCAGACTGCCTAAAGGAAACATAAGAAATCCCAGTTGCTCCTGCGAGAGCTGCGAGAGAAAGTAAGTCTGGTCCTTGACCTGCAATATCAACAGTTCGCTCAAAAGCAAAAGCGCGAAAAGAGCTGGAGCCTTACTTCATCTTTTGATAGCATTAGTCGTGCACGTATTGTCCCCTGTTCATCCACATACCGCTCCACTCGAGCATAATGACCGGAGGCAACTCGATCGAACTTAGTCCTGTCAATGTGATCCAGAAAAGCACCTGGTTGTCAGGCTTAGTATACGCAAAGGAAATTCAAAGAACAGTCCATACCAAACTTCACAACGGTGTTGCACATGATATCAGGATTTGGAGTCCTCCCAGCCCGAACTTCCGTGATGCATTTGGAGACAACCTTGTTCCAGTAGACATCAGTCAAATGAACGATCTCCAGCTTCACTCCCACCTACAAACAAAAAATCGTCCAATAAGAAAACCACAAAGAAAGGAACAAAAACAAAGCGAACCTCGTCACACACGTCTTGAGCATACTTCAAGTCTTCCTCCCATGGACAAGACGACCAGAAGTTTTGGAAATCCTCCTGTGGAGCGAGCCAGATTTTGTCAATGCCTCTGCCAATCCAAAAAAAATTTCTAGTACCTGGAACCAGATCTTGATATAGAAGGCAGTGCACGAGTGTCCAGCCCCACAGAGTAGCCGCAATGCCACACTACTATCCACTCCTCCACTCACGAGCACTGCTACTCTCAGCCTGTGCTGGCCATGAGGCTCGCAGCAGCTCAAGGCATCGTTCCACTCCAAAATCGGAGAATGTGTGAGAGTACGCTGCTTCTTCTCCTCGGACAAGACCGGATTTTCAATTCCCAGCGATGAGCATTGCCATCGTCGTTGCCGTGGAATCGAGCATCCGGAGAGAAGACGACGATTTCGCGGCTCACAATGAAATGCCCGCGAACTGACCTGGTAGCCACAAGCGCCTGGAGAGAGCGCCATTTTTAGGGCTCTTCCTCCCTCCACATTTTTAGGGTTTAAGATAGGAGCTACATTTTCCCAATGGAGGAATGGCTGACCAAGGCACGCGTGCTGGAAATCCACGCGACGCGAGGTAAGATCGGGGCAGTGGCCGTGGAGCCAATGTCGCAGCCAGCAGCTCCGCCACTCCACAAGCTCCAGCCGATCGGACTCGCGGATCTCAAGCCGGGGAAGCATCACACAGGGTGTGCGCTCTTTGGGACGCTGTGTGGCGAGGCTTTCAAGAGCCAGGGCATCCACACGGTGCTGGAAGACGCGAGCGAGCGCGCGGTGCTGCTGTCCGTGTACAATGTGGCGGTCTCTAACACGAGCAATGCGGGCGTGAAGCAGAGATTTCCAGTGGGGATGAGAGTGGCGATCAAGGAGCCGGTGCTCAAGCGGGAGAAAGGAGGGATTTTGGTGCTGCGTGTGGACAATCTTCTCAACATCGAGAGGGTGTTGGCAGTACCCGACTCGAGCGGTGAGTTTCCAGCTCCCATCTCCGAGGAGGCCAGCGCCGCGTCGCTGAAGATGGAAGGCAACAAGCTCTTCGCGTCCAAGGATTGGATCGGTGCTGCGGAAGCTTACACAAAGTGCATCACTCTCAGCTCCAATCTTCGCGAGGTGATGGCAGTGGCTCTCTCCAACCGAGCTGAAACGATGCTGAGGATTGGAAATCCGGAGCAAGCGCTCTCTGACTCGAACAACGCGCTCAAGCTGGATCTCTCCAACGTGAAGAGCCACTGCCGGAAAGCCCGAGCGCTCCACGGGCTCCACGAGTACGAGATGGCGCTGGCGTGCATGAAGAAGGCGGCGGAGATGTCGAGAGATCATATGGGAGGCCTCATCCAGCAGTGCGAGACGAGTATCAAGCAGAGCAAGCACGGGAGTTTCGACATCAGTGGCTTCCTCATCGCTGGCCGAGCTCGAGACCGAGCTCCCACCTGCGCGGACTACGTCGGCCCCGTGGCAATCCGGAAGTCCACCATTGCCTCCGGTCGAGGCCTGTTCGTCACCGAGAGCGTCAAGGCTGGAGAAACGCTGCTCGTCACCAATGCCTTGGCAGTAGCCTACAGCGATTCTCCACCGAGCTGCCAGGCGACATCACTCCAGGAGGACCTGGTGGCCAAGATCATGGCGGCAGTGGCATGCTCGAGGCGGAGTTTCCAGCAGCTGAGCAGCCTCATGTCGTCGACCAAGATCCCGTCGCTGGACTTGTTCCGTCCCAACAGCCGCTGGTACTCCGAGACCTTCGACCAGGACAACAATGGCGACGTCAGGATCGACACGGACAGCGTCCGCAAGGTGGTGAAGGAGTTCTCGTTCGGCCAGTCCCTGTGGCACAAGCTCGACGGTATGTGCAACAGCGCCGACGCCATCCTCAACTCCAAGTCATGCGGACTGTGGCCGCTGCCGGCTTTCATCAACCATTCGTGCTGTCCGAATGCCGCGCGGCTGGAAGTCGGGCGAGCGCTCTTCGTCCACGCGGCTCGAGACATCGGCGAGGGGGAGGAGATCACTCTCCCATACTTCGACGCGCTGGTGCCGTTCCACGCGCGGCAGGAGATGTGCCAGCGGTGGGGATTCCAGTGCCAGTGCCGCCGCTGCTCCAGCGAGCGCGGCTCTCAGAAGGCCTTCCGGAGGATCAACGAGCAGTTCAACTTCCTCCACGACAAGGCCTTCCGGGAGATCAACGCGGCGGCGGAGGCCGGGGAGGTGCCCGGTCCTCTCCCGGCGTGCGCGAGCTTCGGGCAGCTAGCCGTGCGGCTCCAGGCGGAGGGAAGCGCGAGCGCGGACACGCTGCTGCGCGCCTCGTACGCGCTGGCCTACTTGGCCGGGATGCCATCGTCGGACTTCTTCGAGGATTTCATGCAAACGGTGCCGCCATGGGAGGATCTGGTGAGCTGCTTGCACGAGACGGTGCCGGGGCACTGGCGATCGCTGATAATGCAGTGCGGGGAAGTGATGGAGCTGCGGCAGTACTTGGAATCGTCGGCGGTGGTGAGAGACGAAGGGCCATTGCGAGTGGTGAGAGAGGTGGCTTACAAGCTTTGCCGGAGTACCTTTGGGAACCAAAGGGCCGAGGTCTTCGAGGCGCTCATCGCGCAAGCTAGTAGCATGAGGCCATTTTAAAAAGGAGAGAGAAAGAGGTTTATTCCTTTCTTTCGTCAAATTAGATTCTCTACTTGTCGTGTTCTTTTTTCTAGGGCTTGGCTTGCTTGCTGTGCGCTCGCCAGTCATGGCGATGGCGATGATGCCCTAGCACGAGAGGCTGATGCGCTGCTGCGGCCACGGCGCTCGGGTGGAGGACGACGGCGCGCGAATCGGCGGCGGTGGCGGCAGCAGCAGCAGGCATTTGTGGCGGCGGCTCTTGTTGTTGATGAAGAAGAGGCGGCTTGCGGAAGTGGTAGGGATGCCTGCCGCTGCTGCTTCTTGCTTGTTCTTGCGTGCGTAGAAGCGAGCGAGCGAGTGAGCGAGTGATTCTCAAGTCGAGTGGAAGGGGAGTGAAGTCTTGCTCTCTTTTTTTTCTCCTCTTTTTTTTTTTCTTATGGTTGGGGCGTGGCTAGGGGCGTGGTTCCGAACATCATCGGACGCGCAGGAGCAGCAGCACCATGGTCTCCGCTAGCAAGGAGATGGCCGTCTATTGCTTCGATACTCTCGTCGCCCACTACACCGGAGATGTGATTCCCACGCCGGACTTCGAGGAAGGGAACTAGTAAGTGTTCATGGCATTGTTTGCCATTCTCTCTTTCACGTTCCATTTTCTCCATGCAGCCCACTGTTCGTGACTTGGAAGAAAGTTGTGAATGGTGGAGAGCCTCGCTTGCGAGGATGCATCGGGACGCTGGAAGCTCGCTGCTTGATCACTGGCTTCAAGGATTACGCATTGACCAGGTGCGCTCTTTTGGTTGCTTGGCGTGAAAGAGTCTTGTCATGGCACCTTTTGTTTATGGTTTTAAGTGGATGCCTTCCTTGCTAGCTAGTGTTTGGTAGCCGAGTTTCGAGCGAAAAGATGTGAAAAAAATAAGTGGAAGGATGTTGACCTCTTCTCTACCTATGTTTCAGTGCGCTCCGCGACCGGCGCTTCCCTCCGATTCAAGCCCGGGAGATTCCTTTCCTGGAATGTACCGTGTCCATTCTAACAGACTATGAATCAGCAGCCAATTATTTAGATTGGGAGGTGCATTTTTCTTAAATTTTCTTCTTTGCAAGCCTTTTGGGAGGCTTGTTTGCTTTCTTGCATAGTTTTATTCTTCTCTTCTTGCCTCGTAGCTAGGGAGAGGTTGATTGATTTTGCTCCGGTGGTATTGCTACTGATTTTACTCCCGCAGATTGGGAAGCATGGGATGATCTTGGAGTTCACTGATCCGGATAACTTACGTAGGAGTGCCACTTATTTGCCAGAAGTTTCGGCTCAGGAAGGTACGTGAGATTGTTTTTTGTTTTCTTCCAGAGGACCATAGAAAAAAGCAATCTTTCCAGGCTGGACCAAGGTGGAAACTGTGGACTCGTTGGTGAGAAAAGCAGGATTCATGGGTCCTATAACCGAGTCACTGCGCAGGCGCTTTAGAATCACTCGCTACCAGAGCTCACTCTACACGATGCACTACAGTGACTACGTCGCGTACCTGAAGCGAACACGAGGCATCATCCCGCTGCTGACACTCAAATGCTGATCGCCGACCCGATTCGATTGATTACCCCAAGCTCTATTACCGAAAACGATCCATCCATCTCCTTAGTAGAAGAAAAGAAAGAGAAGAATTTCTTTCTCTCGGGTTGTGGTGTCACAATTCTTGAAGCCGCGGCCACGGAGAGACGCCACCGACGATTCTTGCTTCATCCTATAAAAAATAAGACCGAGAGCCAAGAGAGTTTTTGTCTTGGGCTTTTTCATTTCGTCACAGATCGTCCCATATCCGAAAGTCTGTCATTGGATTCTCGGGGTTGTCTTGACACGCCAAAAAAAAGAGCGTCTTGTGCCTGTCAATATTTGCCAAAGCATGTGCCCGGCCAGCCGGCGCAGCGGCGATTGATACCTCGCCAGCCTCAACAACAGCCTGCGCATATCCATTGTCCATGAATGCGTTCTCCAGCTGTGGAAGAGAAAGAAAAAGAGAAAGATAAGTTATATCAGCTCCAACCGGGTTTATAAGATCGATCGCACAAAACTTACACGAAACAACGCTCGAGCATTCCACAGGAGAAACGTCTCGTTGCAAAAGTGATGCCGATGATTGGCACGAACGGCCCCTACTTGTATCTCTCCTGCGTGAACTGCTGTGCATTCAATCGCTCCACCTGGGAAAGAATGAAAGTAAGCTACACACACACCATTATTCCTATAGTAGCCTACCTGAGAGGCCGGCTTGAGCAGCAGCTTTGAGAGGATCGAGCAGCCATCCTCGCTTGTCTTGACTTGGGTTTCTGGAGAGCCTCGCCAGGCTTGCATCTGTATCGCTGCCAATGCTAAAGTGTTGCTGGTGGAGCTCTTTGTCCAACACCATGACGGACATCTTGCAGAGAAAGAGTAGGAGCACCGCTAAGCCCAAGACCTGCCACCACTGCTTTGCCTGCATTTCCAGCCTCCGCCCGACCTTTACCTTTCACTTCCTTCCTCTCGTAGAAAGAAGGCTACCGGAACCTGGTGACTCGACTCTATCTATCTATGTGAAAACCCTGACGGCCGGTAACTTGAATCCAGAGGCCTCGTCTAGAAAAGGATTGGACTTGTTGTTGGCGAGATCCTGGTAGAGTGTATACTCTGCCGCGTAGTCGTGAAGGTTGAGCTCTCCTCTCTGGTTTGTGTGATAGTGATGTTTGGCGGTGGCAGCTTTCCCGAATCCGAAAATATTCACACTGTCGCATATCCCCAGCGCAAGCATCACCGCTTGCATCCCAGACGAGTAGTGGAAGAATGAGCCGTCGTGCATGCGTTTCCAGTGCTCGATCGAGTCGCTGGCCGAAGCAGCAGCGCCGGAGCTCTGGAAGAACTTCTTGAGCGAGTAGTACTTGACAATTCTCATGCACAGAGCATCGAATCTGGGATCAGTGACGAGCAGCGGCATATCGGTCATGAGAGAGCCACAGAGCTTGAGGTGGACGAAGTGTAGAGCCTGGCACATATAGACGACGGTGGCGACGCTGGATCCATATGGATGGCAATTGCAACCCGGACGTCGAGAGCACAGAGCTAGAACGTTGCTGTTGATGAAGGAGAGCGTCGTCTTTGATCCAACGTGCTGCTCGAAACCTGTGACTCTGGCATTGTTGAGCCTCAACACTGCTTCGTGGCTGTCGATGAAAGATCCATACCTGGTGTTGAGAAGGATGCCGCTGTTTCCAACCACAGCACACTGCCGGAATCGCCCGCTAGAGCCTGTTGCTGATGAATTGAGAACCTTGACGATAGGAGCACTCACTTGATCCACCAGCTCGTTCATGACACTGGGATCATACCTCTTCTTCCTCAGCCACGAGCGTAGAGCTTGAGACGCTTCCGCCCAACGCGTGGAGTATCGAGGATGAGTGAGCTCCACCGGCAACCTGGACCCTCTAGCCGAGATCCGTCTATAGCCCGAGTTGGGACGGTGGTCGTGACGGTAGTACGAATCCACATCGATGCTTGCTGCTCTGGCGGCTCTGGCTCTCGAGGCCGCCTCTGGAATGTCACGCTGCCACCGCCGCCTCACAAGCTCCAGATTTACCACATCGCCATCGCCTTCCAGCAAGAGGTTGAGCCTGTGAAGCTCCTCCGGCGTCCAAGGATCCTGGATCGACTGCAAAAACAAGGTTCTATTCAATTCCTGGGGATCTAGCCTGCCACTGCGCTGCAGCTTGTGGCGATGCGGATAGCCTAGCACGACCCTGAGCGAGGACAAGCTGATTGCGAGAATGCCCAACGCAAGCAACCCAATCAAGCACACGAAATTGGCACACCTGACGCTCGGCCGATCTCTTTGCTGCTCTCTGGCAATGCATTGCCTGGAGAGATGGTGCTTGTAAGAAGCCATGGGAACCACTCGGGACATGGGACCAATTGACCCAACTCGACGCGCAAGCTCTGCTCGCTCGCACGCTCTGGTTGATTGAAATCTACGACTAGCCTAGCATGATCAAGGAAGAAATGGAGCGAGCAAGCAAGCAAAGGTTTTTGCGGATAACTGGGCCTAGCCAGTGGGGACTGACAGGCATGCCCTGCTACACACAACACCTGCATTGGATTAAACTAAGCCCAAAAAGCCCTCCCTCCAAGGCAAGCAAGAAGGGCCATCGCCTGGCTGACAAAGGAAGGAAAAGGAAACATCACCACTATTACCCTATTCACGAGAAATCCCAGCATCCAGAGCGAAACCAAGGCACTCAAGGCTGGATTTGGATCTCTTTTCTCAGGTAGGAAACGGTACGGCGCATTGATGAGCGAAAGAGAGGGGAAACGGCCTAGGTTTAGATTCAGAGGAGGAGGATGTAAATGCAACGTGCAGGGCAGCGCTCTGCCTGCCGCGATCATGAAATCACATACCTGGCGTAGAGGACGAAAGCCCTAGAGAGCTCAAGAACCCTAATGTCTTTTTAATTGGGGTTTAAATTCAAACTATGGCGCCAAGCTCGTCCAAGTTTGCAGCGCACTGTGCGCTCAAGATCTCCCTGGCGCTCCACCACTTCTTCTCTGGTTTCCACTGCCTTGCTGTTAGCATTCGAGCCATCATGTGAAAAGGTGCGAAAAAAATTTCCTTTCGTGACTGTAGCAACAACAAACTACAATGCATGCGACTTGAAGTTGACTTCCAATGAGCAAGCATTTTGCTGTCCCCATGCCTCATAGAGGTTATCCAGATTCTTCTGTGCAAGTGGTGGTTCTGTAAATTAATTCGGATCTTGAACTCTGCATCAACTTAGGTTATTGAGTAGAATGGGATGCTGTACTAGGGATGAAACATGTATTCATGGGTGGGAACTATGGGAGCGGGTCCAGGACTTATCTGTTTGGTACTACGGAGAACCTGCTTGCCTTGGATCCCACATGTTTTACATTAGTATCAGAGGCTCGGTGGTCAAGCCACAGTGTTTTTTACAGTTGGGTGGTGAGCATCATACACAGCAGAGCACTTGATAGAGTCTAGCGGAGTTAGCGGAGATCTAAGGGATATCCCACAGTTTTTTCAGAATGGCAATATAACAATTATCAACGAAACTTCGGGTTTACCAAGGTTTCTATTTTGAAGACTGAAGTGGACAGGGATGGGGAATTGATAGCAGGATTGTAGTGAGTTGAGACATGCTAGAGGAGCAAGGCCTTGTTTCATTCACTCCCAGGAAGGCAGAGCCCTTACTAGATTCTGAAACGGCAATAGGCACTATACAGAAGTTTGCGCTTCTTCTAAGTCACATAGTGGAACTAATGAAACTTGTGCTCGATACTCGAATTTTGAATCCCTTAAGGCCAAAGTAACTAATAGATGGACTCACAACTCTACATTTCCAAGCCTTGACGATTACACCTTCAAGCATCGTGATGGCTAAGTTCCAGCAATTGTGTCATCACATCTTTGTCATAACAAGAGTTTAAGTCCAAAATGAATGGGATGGCCTTTGAGAGATGACAAGATGTGATGACTTGACAATTGCTTCCATGGACTTAGGGGAAGCCATAAACGTCAAGGAACACCTGGAATTGTAGAGTCGTGAGTACATCCAGTGGTGGTGAAGGTGGTGAAGTTGCTTTGGCCTTGGATTTGAAATTGGAGTGCCATTGTTCCTAAAGAAACCATGTGACAAACAAGGCACTTAAGTTATTCACCACTGTTCCCTTTTGGCATACCCTAAGCTTCCATAGAACACTCGAAGGTGGAATCCTGGAAAGAAGAATTTTTAGAGGATAGAATAAGATTTAGTGGACTTGTTAAGCTTAAGCTTGAGGCTTAAGGTTAGGTGTGTGAAGAAAATGGATGGATGTTAATCTCACCAGGCCTGGTATCCTTCTCTGTCGCACAAAGTTAACAGTGATGGTGTGTGAAGGGAATGGATTAAAGTGTAAGGTAAAGCTTGATCTTTTGGGTTAATGAAAATTTGAGGTTAAGTGTAAACCAAGAGAATATTCTATATTCTGCCACGTCAGCAGTAGGCGTACACAATCAACAAAAATAATGATGCATGCTGTTAAGATCACCAAGAGGAAATGTGCCCGAGCTACGGCAATGTTAAGGTGTATCAATGAGAGGCTATGCCGTTGGTTGACAGGAGGCAAAAGAGCAGCACAAGAACAAAAACCATCAGCAACAGGGTTGCTAAAACCAAACTCCAGTGGGTGTTAGGTTTTCATTGGACCTGGAATTCTGCCTGTGTTGTTCGCTGCAACAGTTGGGGCAGTGCACCAGTGAAAATTGGGCAAACTTAACACCCACCTAAGAACTACTGAAGTCTAGTTTTGCAGTACAGTGTCGATGGTTCTTATTCTTGAGCTACTCTCTCGCCTGTTGTAGATGGCACAGCCTCTCATCACCATTTTGCCATAACTTGGGCTCTTGGTGATATTAACGGCAGTCATCTTTATTCTTGTTGATTGCATACATCCATTTGAACTTCTTGACTTCTAATGCCGACCTACTGCTGATGTGGCAGAATATAGAATATTCACTCGGTTCTACATTATAATAAATATTTGTGTTCAAATAAGAGTGCAAGCAATGACAACCTCAACCCATTTAGTGGCATAGTCAAGTAAATAAGTATGTATCAATTTTGAGATAATGGTATGAGAGGTAACATGGAATTAAAAGGTTGTATTTGCTTAGGTCACAAGCTTTGGAAAGGTTGTGATAATCCTTAAAAAGTGTTAAGGCTAGCTTGATAAATTTTTCATGCAGTGATGTCACACAAAGTGCATAGGCTTCTTGCAATATTGCATTTTGGTTTAAAGCTTGTATGCAACATCTTTTTTCTTGTCCATCTTTTGTATTGTCTGCTATGGGTGTATATGGTATAATAAATGCCTTATGTTGGTCTAGTGTAGCATATTTTTGTGGGAATAGAATTGACAAATATTTTGCCAATCTCAAGTTGGTGTAGCTTGAAAAAAGTTGCACCTGGTAAGTTGTCATGAATACTGATACTAATAGTGAAGTTATCTACTTGAATATGTTGTCTACCTAGCTTATGAATAATATTAAATTCAAACTCTTGAAGCAGTAAAAACTATGCGAATGGTTTAGTAAGTTTGGGTATCAAATGCGTCCACTTCTAAATGGACCTGTCTGGTGGAACAAGACTAGATGCTTTTGTTAAGCATGTGAATAAGTTTATCATAAATTTAGTGACATATTTAATTCTATTTGCATGTCATATCTTTGTGCAAGACTTGTTAATGTTTGTGAGATTAAGTCTAAAGTGTTACCAAGCTATATTATCTTTAAAGATGGCATAATTGTTGATTTTCGATGCTCTATGCTTCCATAAAGAATGAACACTTTCCAGGATTTAAGCCTAAGCCAAATTCTCTACAATGTATTAAAGATTTTTCAAGGCATTGTAAATGTTTGTTTTTACCACTATATACTCTACAGGCATCCATAAAAACCTTTATAAGTCAAGTAAGTAATCATAAAATATTTCTATTGTTTTTTTAATGGAAAATTTGTCATGCCAAAAGGCATAATTATGTAAACAAATGCTCCCTATGGTGTAATAAAATGCAATTTGTGTTGATCAGCTGGTTTGACAAGGATTTGATTATATTTCAAGAAGCGTCAAGGAAAGAATACATCTCGTGACCAGCTACACTATTAAGTAAGTCTTCAGAAAATGGTAAGGGAAATGCTTCACACTTAATTACTTCATTTAAACACTTGAAATCTACACATAAATATAATTTTCCTATTTTCTTAGGTACAATAACTATTGATGATATCCAATTAGCACCACTATAGGATAAATTCAAATCCAACATGTAAAACTTATGCAGCATAAGTAGGCTTCATCTTATAAGAACGTTTTGAATTTTTTAGTTCAATCTTTTATATATATATATATATATATATATATCTTCGGCCCTTTAAAATTTAAAATCTTCATAATTCCAAGCAATACATTACTTTGAGTAAGTCACTTAAAGTCGTAAGAAAAATTGAGGTCTATTGTCTATGCCAAGATTGATAGACTCTAATGGTTTAATGGTTTTTGATATAAAACCGATAATTTTGTTTTCTTAATCATAAGGTTTAATATAAAGTATGACTGGTATATATATCTTAGTATGGACGGAGAAGCATAGTATAAGGTTTGGAAAAAAAATTTATGGTAAGATTATCTTAAAGCAAATGTTTGATATAATGATTATGATATTGGACAGTGTATACGTACATAAAAAAGTGTTGGTTTAAGATAACCCTATTTCATACTTCTTTTTATGTATAGTGTGGGTAATTAGACACTCATAATCCCAGAACAATCAATAGTGCTATTACAAATCACCAATAGAATGAGTTGGTATAATTGAAATAAATATTAGATGTGTGGGTTGGACATCATCTCTCACTCTTTGCCACTCTCCACTGTCGAACAGACCTTAGGGGTCTTCCCCAAGGCATTGGCTTGTGTTCACTTGTGTGCAATTCATCTCCATCTCTCTTGGCACGTTCCATTATAAACCCTGAGTCACGGACGATGAAGCAGGATCTGCAGGCGCGACACTAGCTGCCATTCTAGGTCCAGGAGTGTGGAAGCAGGCATGTTAGCAGCTGTAGAGCCTGGCGCATGCAGATGAATCAGATGGTAGGGACATATGGATGGCCAGAAGCACAGAGCGACAACGTGGCTCCTGATGAAGGAAAGTGTCGTCTCCTGTATGCTCGGATTGTTGAGCCTCAACACCATGCATGTCGACGAAATGCAGGCAACGCATCAGGCCTTCAACCAGCAACATATGCAAGCTTGGCATTGAGAAGTCCAGACAAGCACTCGACCAGTTAAATAAGGAAATCAAACAGGGTGATGCCAGACTCTTGCCTGCTGAGCCTTTCACAGTGAAATTCCTGTCGCCACACTTCAAAATCATTTGTCGCACACCATTCACTTTCCCGTCTGTGTTGTAGATAAAAACTACTTGGAGGTGGAATTCGATACTTTTCTCAACTATTCCACCTATCTTTGTTGTACTTCGCCTTTATCTTCTTGACATCAGCACATTGCTAGTGGGCAGATCTCGCCTGTTTTTGAATCCGTGAGAGAAACGCATATGTCTCATGATTGGCCGCTGCTCGTCACTCCCAAATTCGATGCTATTTGAATTTACTCGCTCAGACGACACTAGGAAAAAGAACCCTAATATCTGAGCTTGGGTTTGAATTTAAATTATGGCGCCAAGGGCGCGAATTCTTCCTTGGGCCTACTGCCCTCGCTCTCGCTCTCGTCCGCCTTCTTCACGTTCATGACATGGATTTGCTTGCTGCAGTAGTTCTCCAGTAAGATCGAGCACAGGTTTGCAGCGCACTGCGCGCTCAAGATCTCCTTGACCGAAACTTGGCGCTCCACCACTTCTCCCGGCGGCAGGATCGCTGGGCTCGTTCCTGCGGCCGCTTCCTCGCGCGGAGTGGCGCTCAACGCATCCAGGAACTGCTGGATGGTTTCCACTGCCTGGTCGCTCAGCTCCGAGCACGTCTCGTCCCTGCCCCCCTTGATGGACGATGCCTCGGTGAGAACCTCGGTGAGGGAGGCGTTCTCCGGCACGCCAAAGTCTCGCACTGTGATGTTCGTCTGCTCGCTGAGGTTAGAGCCTCGCTGCGCTACCGTGCTTCTTGTGCACAGCCTCCCGCTCCCCTGGCTTCCGTCCGAATCAACGTCATCGCCTTCGTCCACGGCCTGAGGTGCCAACTCGCTCTTGATTTTCAGTATGAGTTCCTGAGACAAGAAAACAAGGTAAATGGTCGTAGATACTACGTAAGGCACTCACTCTGATGTCTTGAGGAGCCCAGGCAAGGCACCCGGATGTCGAGGCTTCATCCAAGCTTAAGTGGTAGATCGCTTGCAGC